ACTTAAATAACAGAGGAAGAAAAAGATAAGGTCCTCAAACTACTAGATGATTATCATGATATTTTCAGCAAAAACAAACAGGGATTACAGTCGTACAGATTTAATCAAACACACCATAGATACTGGGAATGAGGCAGCACACTTATAGGACTTCTAAGATGAGAGAGGAGATAAGGAGACAGTCTGATGAGTTATTAGATAAGGACATCATTGAGTCTAGTCATAGCCCACGGAGCTCACCTATAGTTATGGTTAAGAAAAGGATAACACCTTTCGTTTCTGTGTAGATTATAGGAAAATTAATATGCATACAGTGCCTAATCCAAACCCCCCTCCCCTCCAGTGGCGGGACAGAAATCTGGACAGTTATTTAGATCCCGTTCTCTAACTGCCTAGTTTATGAAACTTGTTTTATGATCCTTAGCAAGGTAATGATACCTACTTCAATTTGACGCAAAACAGAAAACACAGTACCTTATCAAATCACCATGGCAACGAAAAACATTTTGGTGGTGGGACGGAATAAACAAATTGGATAAAAATGAGACAACATGTTATCTTCTCAATTAATTCAAACTTTAAAATTGTACTGTAAATTTAAATACATACTTTTGAGTAGCAACTAATGCTTCATCACCATAGGCTATATCAATAAATTTAAATGTTTCGCTGAGCAGAATAAAATAAAAATAAATAAAATGGTCAGGGTAGCGGGATAGGAATTTTTAAGATTACCCCAAATTCTATGCTTTCTTTAAAATAAAGTTTTTATCTGTAAAATTGAAAAGAATATTAACATTGCTGATACAGTACTTCATGCCATAGGTGTATGGAACATTTTAACAAGGTAAAGACATTAAAGATTTGGAGAAATACACTGATACTGTACAGGTAGGTCTCATCATCATTATATATAGACCATTATCTATTGTAAGCTTGTATTTTAAGGGGTAATTTATACCCCCTGCACATTTTGGCAGAAATGGCAGTGTTATAGTACTAAAAGAACTCTATAATCATGGCATCACAACAACATTTGTGGAATCAAATCAATAGCTTTACATTATTTAAAGGTATCATGTAGCTTTCAATGTTCTTATGGTGGCGGGACGGAATTCCAAAAGGTGGTTTGACGGAATTAAATAATTATTTTAGTTTAAAATTGTTTAAAATTTTCCAAAATTACTTTTTAAGCCAAAATCATAAATTACACTTTTATAATCATAATATTGTTAAGAATTATGGAAATGGAATCGATGCAAACACTTTTAAAAATAAATTATACTTCATAATGGTGGTATGGAATTCTTAATACGTGGCGGGATGGAAAATAATAAAATGGGTTTAAAATTAATTTTAATTTGACAGTTATTTTTCAAAGCTAAATCATAAATTACACATGTAAAATCATATAATAGCAAAATGTAATGAAAATCAAATCATAGTAAAGCGTCTAGAAAAAATTAAATTTGTTTTAACTGGTGGCGGTACAGAATTTGACCCAATAAAAATGCATGTCACTTTTTTGGCTCATGTTGTTTCCAAAGCCGGCATAGAGCCTGACCCTGCTAATAATTTCAAACGTTGGCCTATTCCATGTAATGTCACCCAGGTCAGAGGTTTTGTGGGTCTTTGCTCATATTACAGGCGTTTCGTGAAAAACTTTGCCTCAGTTGTTTGTCCTCTGCAACTACTACAGTAACTCACAAAGGCGTACCTTTTGTTTTGTCAGATGAGTGTGATCATGCTTTTAACATATTGAGAGAAAACTTGATTAACCCAGCAATTGCGGCATATCCTTATTTTAATTTACAATTTCAACTTCTCACAGATGCTTCAGAATTTTCCATCGGCTCTGTATTGACTCAAATTCAGTTAAGCATTATTTGCGTGGTAACCATTCTTATTGTTACAGGCCACAAACCCTTGACAGGGGTTACATATAGAAAATGATGTCAAACACAATGGATTCTTGATTTGAATATGTTCTATTGGAAGATTGTGTACAAATCAGGTAAGACAATCTGAATGCGGATTCATTATCCCGTAGACCGATCCTAGTTTAACAGTTATAGCTTCTGAAGCTAAGAGTGAGATGAATGTTATAGTGGAAGATTGTACCTGTAAGGGAATAAACTGTAAAGTTCAGGATGTACATGCCCTAACTTCTTGTGATGGTTTTTCACTTCATAATCAACATGATATTAAATTAATTAATGAACAGGATAGAGACCCTGAGATACAGGAGTTAAAAATGTGTGTCCAGTCACGTGCTAAACCCCATCATTTTGCAGGCAAGTCCCGGTATTATGAACGATTATGTAGGGAGTTTCATCGTTGTTAAAAAAGATTTATGATGGTTTAATGTCCGCATTACTCATGATAGACGTAAGGGTGAAATTGTACAGTCCATCATACCTAGTTTTCTACAAAGGGAAGTATTAACATCATTTCATGGTTCTAATTCAGGACATAATAATTCTGAAATTCAGGACATTATAATTCTGACAAGACTCATTTCAGCTAATTGTACTGGCCTTATATTGCACGTGATGTGAAAAATTTTGTTTGGAATGTCTACCGTGTCAGGCTAGACAAAGATCTGTCCCTGGATTACGTGCTCCAATGGGTACAGTGCCAGTGAACCATCCATTTGAGAGAATTGCAGCCGATATTACAGAGTTGCCTGTGTCAGCCAGAGGTAATTTTTACGCGTTAGTAGTAGGTGATTACTTTACCAAATATATAACTTTATACGCAATTTCCAATCAGACAGCAGCCACTGTTGTCAAGTGCATATGCGAAGATTTTATCAATTGACATGGCGTACCAGGGTCTATTCATGTGGCTCAGTTTGTGTCAAATTTATTGAAGGGAGTCTGTAAATATTTAGGAATCGACAAAACCAAAACTACCCCATGTCACCCGCAATCAGACGGGATGATTGAGCGCTTTAACCGCACACTGAAGGATCAACTGGCTAAACAGCTTTATGGTGAAGGCAAGGAGTGGGACACCTTACTCAGTCAAATTGAATTGCAGTACAACTCAATGGTTCATGAAATCATTCTAGAAAGATGCACTACAATCACCTTAAGTAATATTGAACCATCTGTTACCAAGCAGCCTGTTGTTAGGACAGATGTATATCAGCATTGCTCAAACAACTGTCAACCTTTGAATGAGAAAGCTGTAGCACCCTTCAGTGTTACTAGAACAGGCAGAACAGTGAAGCCACTTTCCAGATTCCTGGAATAACTGTGAATGTATGAATATGTAAACACTTACACATATATTACATGAATTTACAATTAACACACACACAACCAAAAATTTGCGTATTGACGCGTGCTTAATTTGTTTACGCATGTGGTTATAGAAGCTAGGATTTGTTTTTTCTGGCTTTAGTGTTAGTGGCATGAGGGTCTTTTCTCCTTACTTGATTATGGGGAATTGAATACGTCCATGCACGCACGTAATGTTTTTAAAGCATGTTGTAGAAGTTAGGATTTGTGTTTGTTTTGGTTCTAGTGTTAGCTAGTATTTGGGTCATTCCTGCTTGCGTGGCTTGCATGATTGAATAAATAATTGTGATAGACTTGTCAATAATTTCACTGTTTATGGTAGTTCAAACTCTCTTTCATAGATGTGTATAAGAGACAGGTCTTATTATAGTATTTCGAGTGTCGCAGAAAGTTTTTGTAGTTTTTTGGACGAGATGATTGTTTTCTGTTTTATTATTATTAATATTTTGTACTGTATGCAATTCGTATGCTACGTGAATCATTTGAAAGAGGTACCGTACACTCCTCGTATATCCTACACAGGGAGAGATTCTGTCTTTATTTGTTTTGCACCATACGCTATTTGTAGGCTGCATTACTGAACCCATTTTTTTTTTAGATGTTTTCTGGAAGATTTTATTTTTGCACCGTACGTTATCCGTATGCTGCTGCGTTGAATATTTATTTGTGTTTTTTTTTTTTTGCACCATACAGTATGCTAGTTGTATGCTGCGCTATTGAATTGGTTTGTACTGTACGCTTCCGTATGCTACAATGATGGTAGATATTTTTTTTTTTGGCACTGTATGGTATTCGTAAGCTGGTGTGTTGCATTTGTGACATTTTCATATGTAACATATGCAATTCATATGCTACATGTTTTTCTTTTATTTGAGACACTTTACTTTTTTTTGTATCATAGCCATTTGTAAGGTACAGTACATGGATACTGAGCAGTTACTTCCTTCACCGTATGCCATTCATATGCTGGAGTTATGTCAACAGACCCAGAGTCATCTAGAATCTCATCGACGACGGAATCTAACCAATACTCAATCTCATCAGTGGAATCTACTTGGAGTCATCAATATTAAGGCATGTGAACTTCATCTATCAATCTTCAGATGTTCAACCAATGGAACCATTGTTTTCTGATGTACTTCAACCACGAACTGATCACCTTGCCTGAGCGTTTTATTATTATATGAACTCTGTTTTAAATCATATTATACTGAATTGATAATAACTGACACATGAACAACCAGCTAAGCAAAAGAATTTTAATTAATTTCATGAACACTCAAACTGTAATATACTGTAAATACCATAATAATGAGATTGCTTATAATAAAATCAGTGCAGAATGTTATTTAATGTATTTCATTATACATTATAATACTATAATGCATCGATAGGCTTATGTATTTGTTATTATTTCTGCATACATACTGTATGAGAAGTGGGACACTTCTTGGAAAGAGGAGGAGTAGTGTAACCTTTCAACTTTAGGATATACATATTATGGGATGGTCCTGCGAAATAGTCTCGTGGGCCGATTTGATAGGAAGAGACTA